TTGTGGAGGTCTGTCTGGAGGTTTCTCAAAAAGTTGGGATTGGAAATCCCATTTATTCCAGCTATTCCACTTCTAGGCATATTCCCAGAAGAACTGAAAGCATCATACCACAGGGATATATGTGCACCTATGTTTATAGCAGCACAATTTGTAATCGCCAGATCTTGGAAACAACCCAAGTGTCCATCAACTGAGGAATGGATAAAAAAGTTGTGGTATTTCTATACAATGGAGTATTATTCAGCTATAAAGAAGGATCGCATTGAGATATTTATCAATAAATGGGCGCAGCTTGAGACCATACTCATAAGCGAAATAAATCAATCTCGCATGTATGAATACCGAATAGTTTCCCTAATGTAAGTAATGATTCAAATATATAAAAATATGTGATAATCATGATTCCCCATTATGTGGCCTTGAAGCCTTATAAAATTTTCACTTATTAATTAGAAAGGCTTTACTCTGGGCTTTTTGATATGGAAATATTTGAAGCTATAGTATATGAAGTTTTATCCAAATATTTTAAGGAAAAAGACAGACACTATGGTAACTACTATTCTTTAAAAAAATTATTTAGCTATTTCTTATGTTTATTTTAATTAAGGGAAAAACTTAAAAAATTAGGATATATAGTAGTAACTCTTTTTGATCTCCTATTAACTTGTTTTGAAGTCCTGTAATACTCCCAAGATCTTGTTTTGACTGATTAGACTCTGTTTTTATATTCTGTGCGATAGTAGCAAGTTTGAAGGTATAGGCAACTAATTTGAAGGCAATAAGATTCACAAAGATGCCCATTCTGGTTTGACTATTGTCTCCTTTGGAAGTCCTGTAATGTTCACAATGCCTAGGTTTTGTTGGTCTTGTTCTCCACTGTTTTGTCCGGCTTTGTAATATCTAATGAGATGGACAATTCATTTTAAGGAAACAAGAGACAATGTTGATAACCATTGTTGATGACCTTGTACTCTGTTCTACATCATGTGCTATGTCTATCCTTGGTTTTGACTTACAGCTTTGTTTTGCCATATTTGACTTTATTCTCTCCCCCGCAAAAAAGTAATAAGAACTAAGGAGTAATAAAATCCAAAATGTGTAAATTTTGTTATAAAAAAGAGAGGGAGGGGAAAAAAAAAGAGCTCTAACGGATATAACAACAAGTGTGTTTAGGGATGTTAAATAGCTGACCATATTAATGTTTTTGGATCATTGAACACAGCTGTTTGCAGTCTCTCCCTTTGAATGTCTACTTTGTATTCTTTGATACTGTGATTTGAGCAACTATTTCCAAGATGATATTATGTAATCTATTAACAGGTGATTTCTTACTGTTATGGTTTTTTTTTTGTAGTTCTGTATTATGTGTAACCTTACACTGCTTTGTTTTGTTTTGTGTTTTTCTCTTTTTCCTCTTGAATAAAAAAAAAAAGAAAGAAAGAAAATCCATTGCTGATGAGACACGCAGTACCAGGTAATAATTATATTTGAACTTGTTGGGGGATAGTAATAGAACTAAAACTTAAGAGTCAGGAACTCCACAGGTTAGGCTCCCTCAGATTTAGACTATGAGACTGATATTCACATACAGTAAGTGCATAAAGGAGTACTCTTCATTTAAAAATGTCAGAAGGGAAGAGAAGAAAGAAAGATAAACCAGGGAGGAATATGGGGTTGTCATGTAGTCTCAATAGAGACTTCAACTTAACTTACATGGGGCTTTGAAGCTATCCTTTGCATTTGTCCTAAGTTGGGAGGAAAAAAGCCAAGGAAGAGAGGCTTTTACACCTCCATAATGATCAGTGATGGGAAATGGACTTCCCTGGAAATGTAACAGGACTTGAGGGTAGCAGTTCATTTCAGACAAAACTGTTTCCTTGGGAACTAACATCTACAAGCTGTCTACTGGAAATACTCCCAGTAGCTGGAAAAATAAGTCCTCTTTTTTCTTGAAGGGAGATCTGGATGGCACATCACACCACATTCCTGCAGAAAAACCTTACACATTTTTATTTTAAGCTCTTATATTATAGTGGTTGAACCTGAGGACCCAGGATGGTAAGTGGTCCACACATAGGATCCAAGGCCTTTGATCCCAACAGTATTATATATTGCACTATACCTTGTTTTTCTGGATTTTAAAATATTTAGAAGTGAATTTAAAATGGGTTGTCTGGATAGTGATGATGGCCTGAGGAAATTATTTAACTAAAAAAAATTGGTTTTGAGAGTTTAGAAAAATGAGATTGGATTCTGGTGGCATAAATTAGAGCAGTTTGCTCTAATTACTTTAGTATTAGCTTACTTTAAATCTTTGTTGGTATTGAGATCAATATTAAAAAGCAGGACCTAGAAACTTCTTATTTCCTCCTTTATCATCGACTACTGATCCTTGGAGCACATGTATAGCCTTGTAAAGACTCTGGGTTCCTGAATGTAAGTTAAGGGAGATCAGGAGTTGATTCTTTACAATCACTGTCAGAGGCAGGAGTTGTGGCACAATGACACTCATTATCATTTATCTTTTTAATAATGGCCATCCTAAAAAAGGGTAAAGTCATATCTTATTTTGGTTTTAATTTGCATTTTCCTGATGACTAGAGATGTTGAGTCTTTTTCATATACCCATCAACTAAGACCATATGTCTTCTTTTGAAAAAAATTTTTTTTTCTTTTTTTGAGACAGAGTCTCACTATGCAGTTCAGACTGGCCTTGAGCTGATTTTGTAGCCCAGGCTGGCCTTGAACTGGAAACGATCCTCCTGCCTCAGCCTCTTGAGTGCTGGAATTATAGGCATGCGCCATCACAGATGTTTACTGTAAACTGTTTTTTCAAGTCTTTACTTATTTTCAGTTGAGTTACTTGAGTTTTGTTTGGTTGTTTTGGATTTGGTTTTGTTTTGTTTGCTACTAAATTACTTATACATTTGGCCTATGTTATCTCTGTATCAGATGTATGGTTTTCTAATACTGTACTTTCTCTCACTCCACAGACTTAAATTTTCCTTTGCTATGCATTAGTAGTTAATGTCTCTAACTTTGTTGTTTTTGTTCAATATTGCTTTCACTATTTAGGGTCCTTTATGGCTTCATACAAATTTTAAACTCATTTTTTTATTTCTGGGAAAACTTTCAATGGAGTTTTGATAAAGATTTCATTGTATTTATAGGCTTTTTGTATAATCTATACATTTTAACAATATTAACTGCTCCAACCCATGGCCATAGATTTCCATATATTTGTGTTTTCTTTAATTTCCTTTAGCAATATTTTATAGTTTTCAATATATGGATCTTTCATCTCTTTGATTAAATTTATTCCTAGTATTTTATCTTTTGTGATATTATTACAAATGGAATTATTTTCTTGATTTACTTTTCAGATAGCCCAACTATTACCAGTCTTTGTGCTGATACTGCATCTTTCAACTTTATTCATTTACTTATTAGTTATAACAGGGTTTTTTTGGAGTCCTTTCTTACAAATAAAGGCAATTTTTCTTGTTCCTTTCTGATTAGGTACTCCCCCCGCCAACTAATTGCTTTATCTAAAACCTTTAGTACTATATTGAATAGAAGGAGCAAAAGTTGACAACCTCATCTCATTCCTGATCTTAGAAGAAAAGCTCTCAACATCATCAAGTATGACATTAGGTGTGAGATTATAATACATGAAATTTATTATATTGAGGTACATATACTCTAAAGCTAACCTATTGAAAATTTTTATCATGAAAGATTGTTGATATTTGCCAAGTACTTTTTCTGTATCTTTTGATAAATCTGTATAGTTTCCTAACATAATCTTAAGTAGGATTACCAGCAATTTCTTTTCTGAGTATATAGTCAAAGGAAATTAAATCAGTATGTTGCAGAGAAATTGCTCTCTCATGTTAACTGCAACAGTATTCACCCTTTTAAAAAAAAGGAAATATCATCAAACTCATTATTTGCAACAACCACCTGAATGAACCTAGAGGTTATTGTGTTAAATAAAATAAGTCAGGCACAGAAAGATAAATACAACATTAACTTATTTATGGATCTAAACAAGTCAAACTCAAAAGCAGTTAGTGAAATGGTGATTTCCAGGGACTGGGAACAAGGTGGGGTGGAAAGGGATGAGAAGAGACAAGAAAAGTTTAAAGTATATAAAATTTCAGGAGAAATAAATTCAAAAAATGTATTTTACTACATCATGACTATAATTATTAATACTGTATTATATACTTGAAAATTACGAATAATTTTGTGCTCTTACCACAAAAATTAATTGATATATTAATTTTATTTAGCTATTCTACAAAACACACGTATGTCAAAACATCATGTTATCAACCAAAATATATAAAATACTATCTGTCAATTTAAAAACACACAATTTTTAAGAGGTAGGATACCTAGGCAGGCAGGGTGCATGGTGGAATTGAGCATCTCAGCACCAAATTCTGTACACGCTTTTACACACTTTTAGTTTGATTCACTTCATTGTTCCCTCCTCCTATGTATGTTGACATGAGTGGGACTTGCCCTGCTAAACAAAGCACTGGTTTTCACTGTCTATATGTTGCTTCTGAAAAAAGAAGAAGGTTAGACTATTGTCTATCTCAAAGGTTCCTGCCAATTCTAAAATGTTATAGAGCTAAAATTTTCCAGACATTGGGCTATCCTCTTGGATCTTACAGCCAGTAGTTCACATAATCAAAGTGATCATCCCTCCTTAGTCATGCAGACCCAAAGGCTATGACCATGATATTACTACCACTCTGTCCAATTACTGAAAACCACAGAGCACATTTCTTCAACTCCAAGACAAAGCAAGGCATGAGGAAGAAAAGTTGAATTCTTTTAATGAGTAGATTTCCATATCCATGTCAATTAAGTTTTTTAAAATTCCTAAAAAATATTAGAGAAGAAACATGTTCCAAAGCATACAAAGAAAGATTAACCCAAGTAGATTTTTTTAGGTGATCTTTTACTGATTTGAATTTTCTCCTCAGGGAGAAGCAAAGATGGTAAAAGATGGCAAAGTCTTCAGGGTGATCCAAGAGAACTGTTGGGATCCAGAAGTTCGGATTAGAGAAATGGATCAGAAAGGTATTTGCAATGAGAAATGGTTTGCATCTGACATAAAAGCAATGTCTGTCTTTAGAGTTAGCTGACCATTCGGTATGATTTACTTGATAACAACTTCCAATTGCATTTTCTCTATCAGGTCCAGCTATTCTAGCTTTACTAGTGGGAGGAGGGACCTTCCATTACAGTGTTTTTAGACTGTGGATTTAAATGATTTAAAATTCTCTATACCCTTTGTCTTAGTCACTTTTTTATTGTTAGGACAATACCTGACACCTAAAACTCAAAGGAAAGGTTTGTTTTGGTTCACATTTACAATCCATGGTCAAGTAGCTCCAAAGAGCAGGACATCATGGCAGATGGTCATCGTAAAGTAAAGCTCCTCACATCACGGCACCAGGGAAACAGACAGCACAACAGGACAATCATTGAAGGGAGTTATACCCTTCCAGGACATGCCCCTAGTAACTCACCTCTTTTGACCATGTCCCACTTTCTAATAGCACATTTAGCTATGAACTCATCTGTGAAGTAGTCCACCATGAATATAGTGTTTCATGATCCAATCACCTTACAAAAGCCCTGTCTATAATCACATGAGGCTTTAGAGTAATGTCTAGGCATAAACCTTATCTTTATACCCCTGACCCCTCACAGACTCATGCACATCTCTTTATGCAAAATGCATTTAGTCTATCTCTGAGTATTGCCAAAAGCCTAATAGTTTCAGTATTGCTGAAAAGTTCAACTCCAAAGAAAGTCTCCTCTGAGACTCAAGGCAAATTTTTAGCTGTAATCACCTATAAAAATCAAAAAGAAATTTAAACCCTGCCAAATATACAATGGAGCAAGGTAAACATTCTCATTCTAAAAGGAAGTAATGCAGGATAAAAACCAACAGGATCAAAGAAATACTGAAACTCAGCAGGGAAAATATTAAATTCTGTAGCTCTGTGTCCAGCACACAGGGTAAGTTTCAGTGAGATGTGGAATACAAAGGTTTTGTGGAATTCTGCCCCTGTAGCATTGCCTGTGGTTGCAGACCCTATGACCTTTTTCTTGGGCTGACTTTGTTTCTTCCATGCAGCTTTTCTCAGTTGCTCCACATTCCTGGCTTCTTTGATTTCTCAGGGTCCACTTCACTTTTGGCTTCACTCTCACAGCTTCACATACTTCCCTCTTAGGGACACACTGTCTGGCTTCTAAGGCCTTCCTCTGAAATCTGGGTGAAAGCCTCCTGATCCCACTCATGGTATCAAAATCTGTATCAGGAAGAATTCAGTAAAGGAACAGATTTAATATGATTATATAAACAATTTACTAGATAGGCTTACAGTGGCCACCTGCAAAATCAAGGGTAGAAGATTGCAAAATGGCTGTCTGCATGGTGATAACCAGAGGGTTCAGTCAAAGGTCAAAGGCCTGGAGCTCACTGCAGAGTCCAGTGTAAAAGCCAAAGGGCTGGCATTGGAAGGTGTCTGTACTGAAAACCTGAAGGAATGGGAGACAAACATTCAAAAGCAAAGCAAAGACCAGAGCACCCTCAACAAACAAAAAGGGAAAACTTCTCTCTTCTTTGTTCCCTTTTTATTCTATCCAGGCTACTAGCTTATTGGCTAATGACACCACACACACACACACACACACACACACACACACACACACACACAGAGCTTTCCTAACTTATTCAAGTTGGGCTAACATATCACAATTAACTATATCCTGTCTACAGAGTATATCACCAAAAATTTGCCAGAGGCATTTATTTAAGCTTTTTTTAGTTCAAATATGTAATGTTAACTTATTATAGAACCAATTAAAAAGTTAGAAATCACAGATTAATGATACCAATGGCGTGTTTAGTCAGACTTGGGATTTAATTTCTGTAGTTTGTCTCAGTGTACTATACACAGAACACATCCACTGACACATAAAGGTGGAGGTGAAATAAGATTTTAAAAATTCAAAATCAACTCGATAATCTCAGGATACTCTTATGATGAAAACCCAGAAAAAAGGAAATTTTTCTTTCAAAGCTGAATTTCTAACAATTTCTAAGAACTTCTTGCATTCTTTATCTGCCATCTAAAAAAAAAAACAAAAAAGTCCTCACAATATAAAAGAACTTCAAACACTAAAATACAATATTACACCCATGTTATACTATTACTACTACCTGAAGAAAGCACATGTTAAGGAAATGTGTCAAGCCTTCTCCATACAAGTCAGCAATGCCCACAAGATTATGATGGGGAACTAACTTGCCACCACCAATATTGTCTGGCCAAAATTCTTATACCTAGATTTGAATCAAAACAAGCAATTTATACAAAAACAAATTTGTTAAAAGTTCAGATAAATGTACAGAAATGGTAGGAGATTTTATTTTATTCCAAGGTCTGAAACACAAAAAGGAATCAACTTGACAGTCCAAAATGAGTAGGTGGTCTCTGGCATATAAGAATGGCATAGGATGCTTTTGTCTAATAATTACTTTATGTATCTCTAACAACTAAAAATATATCTAAGTGGCATTCAGATTACACTATAAAGAAAGCCTAAATCACTTCTGTGGACTACTGTACAGAATGTATTATAGATACTCCAAGTGTATAATGAAATGGGAAGGACACTAGAAAACAACATGTCTCTTAGATTTACAGCAAAAAGCAAAGTTTTGCCATCAATGCAAAGCAAGAAGAAAGACCCATTTTTTAAAAGAGATAAGCAGTGCAAATGAAATTCTGATGATTGGTGTCAGATATCATTATTTATGGCTACAGAATAGATGAAGTACATGACTCTTTTTTGGTTGTTGTTCTGTGTTTAATTCCATGATTGTCTTTAACAGATCCATCATGACTAATTCTTACTGAGTTTTGAATTTGTACCATGTGCTGCTCAAACATCCAATGTGCATTAATTTATTTAATCTTGGGAGCCTGCTTGGGCCTTGCCAATAGCCTTCTCTTGGCCTGGAGAGCACCACAGCCACTGCCGCCATCTGAAGGAGGGAGCTGAGCTGAGCTGCGGGGGGCCTGCTGGGGGCTTGCCAGCGACTTTCTCTTGGCTTGGAGAGCACCGCTGCCACTGCTGCAGCCTTAAGGAGTGAGCTGCACTGTGGAGGAGGTTTGAGGCTGCCTAGGCGGTGCAGGTGACCTTCTTTCAGCCCTGGGAGCATTGCCACCCAAGGAGGTGGATGCTGCACAACATCCAATCCCCAGGAGAGTTTCAGATCCTGGCTCTGGGTGGTTGGGGGCCCGCTGGGCTTGCACACTACATTGGGCTTGGCAGGATTTGGGCCCACCTGGATAGAGCCTGATGGCTTTCTTTCATTCCGGAGAGCTTTACTGCAGGAGGAGGGAGCGATGCAGCATGGGGAGGCTTTAGGCCTACCTGAGCCACGCCTGGTAACGTTCTTTTCATCCGGGGGCCTCACTGGCCAAGGAGGGAGCTACACTATCAGAGGAGTCCCAGCAGCTCAGGACATAGGAGACAATTTCCAACACGCCCAGGGGAAGCTTTGGAACAACACTTGAAACACGGAAATATAGGAAAATTACAAAACAAAAGACCAAAATGTAATCTCAAACATCCAGCCCATCCCAAGAAAGCCTAGGAGCCATGTACATAAAGAAAATATATGCCATAGACCGAAATACCTGAAATAGTAGCAACTGAAATAAAGAAGCAACTCTGGGAAGCTTTAAAGGAATTCAAAATAGAAATAACCTCCCAGGTAAACAAGAAATGATAAAAGTAATGACAGAGATGCTGAACACACCTAAAGAAAACACAGTTAAAACATTAGAGAAACAAAACAAAAAGATAAAGTACCTGGATGAACAATATAAGAAACACAGAATACATAAGGCAGATTCAAAGAGATATACAGGAAATCAAAAATTCCATAGAAAGTTGTCAAAACTGCCTCAATGAAAGTGAAGACAGAATTTCAGACCTTGAAGACAAGATTGCAGCTAGTGAACAGGAAAGGAAAGATCTCTTAAAAATAACAAGGAATCAAGAAATAACAATCCAACAGCTGCAAGATGACTCAAAGAAAAACAACATAAGATTGATAGGGATAAATGAAAAAGAAGAGGACAACACAAATGATATCAAGAGACTATTTACAAAAGTAATAGCTGAAAATTTCCCAAGCATGAGAATGGAAACTGACATTAGGATTAGTGAAACATATAGAACTCCAAATAGCTATAACACCCTAGACATATAATAATCACCATTCCAGAAATCCAACATAAGAATAGAATATTAAAAGCTGTCAGAGAGAAAAGACAATCACCTATAAAGGAAAACTTATTAGAATCACAACAGACTTCTCAGCACAAACAATAAAGTCAAGAAGAGCATGGAGTTAAATATTTCAGATTCTAAAGGAAAATGATTTCCAACCTAGACTGATGTACCCTGAAAAACTGTCCTTCAAAATGGATAGATCCCTAGCCAATCTTATTTTAAAAAGGAAAGAAAAAGCTCAAATTCATGCAATAAGAAATGAAAAAGGTGAAATCACTACAGACTCTGTGGAAATACAGAAGATCGTCAACACTTATTTCAAAAACCTCTACTCTTATAGGTTCAATAACACAGAAGAAATGGACAGATTCCTAGAAACATAAGAAGCACCTAAGCTGGATCAAGAAGATGTAAAACTGCCAAACAACCCAATTTCTATCAATGAAATTGAAAATGTAATTAAGTCCTTACCTACAAAGAAGAGCCCAGGCCCAGACGGATTCACTGCAGAATTCTACAAGAAATACAAAGAGGACTGTTGGGAGCCGTGGCACTGTCAAGTCATCAGACGCGGTGATTGCGAGGCCTGTGGGAAAGTACAAAAGCCTGAGCTAGATTACCCCTCTCATCGAGCCCGCCTGTGTGGCACCTGTTTCTTATCACCCCACTAAGTTCCCGCCTCACAGGGTAGTCTGCCTAGCTATTAATCCTATATATAGCCAGTGCCTCCACCCCCGAGAGAGAGAGAAGCACAAAAGGAGCCGCGGGGAGCGGACCGGTAGAGGCTTCGGGGGAGACTGAAGCACAAAAGGAGCCGCGGGGAGCGGACCGGTAGAGGCTTCGGGGCAGACTGAAGCACGGAAGGAGCCGCGGAGAGCGGACCGGTAGAGGCTTCGGGGCAGACTGTATAAGGAGAGAATAAAGAAAAGCCTGACCACCGCCAGACCTTGTCGTGTGTCTTTCCTGCCGGCCGGGAGCGACATCGACATTTGGTGGCCCGTACGGGGATTGATCAACCCCGAGACGCGGCGGTGGACTGCATTCTCCTACACAGTGCTGCAGCTGCAGGACAGGAATCGGGACGAGAGCCAATGTGGGTCCCAGAGAGGTTGACGCGACAAGTCCCTCGACTGAAGATCAGGCCTGTTCCACCAGAGGCCAACCGCAGACCCAACAACAAGATGAGCCCTAAAAGAACTGCAGGACAATCCCTTTTTGGGGGCCTGGAACGGCTTGCTCCCCTATGTGCTACCCTTGTATACGCATGGCTCGCTCACATGGCCTACGACCGCGTTTAAAAGTGACAGGCTTCCCACATTCTCCTCCCTAGACAACAACATGTAGCAGGGTGGGTGAGTCAATGACGGGTAAGAGCGTGCCTCCCCAGCACGACTCAACCTAAGCCAGGCCCTACCCCGTTCCGCTCGAAAGCCGCTGGATTGTTAGATAAATTTCTCTCCGAGGGGATTCGTGGAGAGAAATGAGTGCATGCCTATGTGCAACCAGGTTCCGTCCGGTTCATTCCTGGCCCTAGAAAAAAGGACGAGGGCCTCAAGGCCTTGGTGGACCCTGGGACGGCCGACCAGGGTCTACGCTAAGGGCCTACGGTGGGCCTCAGTTCGGGGCATAGGCCTCTGCACTCTATCCAGGACGGGCTGCGATGCGCGTAGCCATCATTTAAAATAAAATAGGGGGAGATGTTGGGAGCCGTGGCACTGTCAAGTCATCAGACGCGGTGATTGCGAGGCCTGTGGGAAAGTACAAAAGCCTGGGCTAGATTACCCCTCTCATCGAGCCCGCCTGTGTGGCACCTGTTTCTTATCACCCCACTAAGTTCCCGCCTCACAGGGTAGTCTGCCTAGCTATTAATCCTATATATAGCCAGTGCCTCCACCCCCGAGAGAGAGAGAAGCACAAAAGGAGCCGCGGGGAGCGGACCGGTAGAGGCTTCGGGGGAGACTGAAGCACAAAAGGAGCCGCGGGGAGCGGACCGGTAGAGGCTTCGGGGCAGACTGAAGCACGGAAGGAGCCGCGGAGAGCGGACCGGTAGAGGCTTCGGGGCAGACTGTATAAGGAGAGAATAAAGAAAAGCCTGACCACCGCCAGACCTTGTCGTGTGTCTTTCCTGCCGGCCGGGAGCGACGTCGACAGAGGACTTAATGCCGACACTCCTCAAACTCTTCAATGAAATCAAAAGGGAAGCAATTCTTCCTAAGTCATTCCTGGAAGCAAATATTACTCTAGTACCAAAACCTGAGAAAGACCCAACTAAAAAAGAGAACTACAGGCCAATCTCCCTAATGAACACAGATTCAAAAATCCTCAATACAATATTGACAAACAGGATGCAGCAAATCAAGAAGATTATACACCATGACCAAGTGGGATTCATACCAGGCATGCAGGGATTGTTCAACATGCGTATATCAATAAATGTAATCCACCATATCAATAAAGGAAGAATCACCTGATCATTTCTATAGATGCAGAAAAGCTTTTGATAAGGTCCAACACTCATTCATACTGAGAACTTTACAGAAAATTGGAATAGATTCAATACAATTCCACTGAAAATACCATCAACATACCTCATAGATCTAGAGAAATCACTCCTAAAATTCATTTGGAACCAGATGCCTTTGCTATTCTAGAATAGCAAAGACAATTCTAAGCAGCAAAGGCAAGGCAGGAGGCATCACAATCCCTGACTTGAAATTATACTACAAAGCTAATGTAACAAAATCGATATGATACTGGAATAAAATAGATCTGAAGATCAATGGAATAGACTAAAAGATACAACCACAACTAACAACAACTCAACCACCTTATCTTTGATAAAGGGGCCAAACATGTTCACTGGAAAAATGATAGTCTCTTTAATAAATGTTGCTGGAAAAACTGGCTCTCCATATACCAAAAACTAAAACTAGATCCATGCCTATCACCACATGCTAAACTAAAATCTAAATAGATCAAAGATCTGAATATTAAAATAGAAACACTAAATCTGTTGGAACACAAAGTAGGTAAACATCTTGAAGACATAGGGGTAGGTACAAAATTCATGAACAGGAATCAAACCACACGGGAACTACTTCCTAGCATCAATAACTGGGATCTTATTAAAATGTTTCTGCACATCAAAAGAAATCTCCAGCATAGTGAAAAGAATACCCACAAACTGGGAAAAAAATCTTAGTCAACTGTCCCTCAGACAAAGGACTTCTGTCTAAAACATATAAAGAATTTTTAAAAATCAGACCCCCGAAATTCAAGGACCCAATCCAAAAATGGGCATCTGTGATGAATACACAGTTCTCAGATGAAGAAATACAAATGGCAAATAAATACATAAAAATGTTCATCATCATTAGTTATTAGAGAAATGCAAATTTAAAACACACTGAGATTCCATCTCACTCCAGAAAGAATGGCCAGGATCAAGAAAACTACCAACAACAAATGCTGGAGAGGCTGTGGGTAAAAGGAACTCTCCTGCACTGTTGGTGGGAGTGTAGACTGGTGTAGCCACTCTGGAGGTCACTCTGGAGATTCCTCAAAAAGCTGGGATTGGAGGTCCCATTAGACCCAGCTATTCCATTCCTGGACATATTCCCAGAACTGAAAACATCACACCACTGTGATATATGTGCACCCATGTTTATTGCAGCACAATTTGTAATAGCCAGATCTTGGATACAACCTAAGTGTCAAGAAGAATGGATAAAAAAGTTGTGGTATTTTTATACAATGGAGTACTACTCAGCTATAAAGAATGACCACATTGAGATATTTACTAATAAATGGGCACAACTTGAGACCATACTCATAAGCAAAATAAATCAAACTCACATGTATAAATACCATATAATCTCCCTAGTGTAAGAAATAGTAAGACTACATAAGAGTTTATGGTAATCATGCTTCCCCATTACATTGTTTTGAAGCTTATAATGATTGCATTTGTTAATTGTAATGGGTTTGTCCTGGGTTTTGATTTTATTATCTGTGATGGTATGAACAGCTAATTTGAGGGAAACAAGCCATTATGATAGCCAGTACTGATATAGTATCATCTTACTCTGAAGTCCTACCATGCTCTTGCTCTTCTGTTTCCATTGGCTCTATCATGTTGTACCTTATTGGATTGTATTATGTGTGAAAGTACAAACAAATTTTCTATGGAAAATGAGATTATATAGTAGCCATTGTTTGTTTTCTGTTATTTGATTCTGAATGCCCTGTAATACTCTCATTCTCTTGAATGTTTTTATACTATTATGCTATGTTTGATACTATTATATATAAAGTTATACTCAACTATTTCAAAGAAAGAGATATTGTGGTAGTTACTGTTAATTATGGGTTGTCTTCTGGTGAAATACTGTGTTGCTTACATTGTTCTGTTCTGATCTGCTTTGTTATGTCCTGTTTTGTCTTAATCTCTTTATGAGAAAAAAATTATTTAATCCTTACAACAATTTCAGATTCTCCTATAAAACAAAAGATTCTTGATATCTTATACAGGATTTCTGGATCCAAATTCAGTAGCCCACTCTGGGTATTCCAGAGCATTAGACTCCATCCAGGTTGACTTAGGAACTGAAAAGAAGAAGACAGAGGAGGGAGCTAAGAAATATACTCTGTCCTCCATGACCTAAAGTAGAAAACTCAAAGTGAGGGTGATAAAAAGAAATATGTTACTTAAATAAAACTGCACAGAGAAAAAAGCATGGGAGTAACCCTTGAAAAATGTAGTCAGCTTGTTTCTCTTGAATGAGCTCAGTTTTTTCCAACATTTATCTGTGTCTCATGAACCTGAGGCTAAGAGATGAGAAAGGAGAGCTCGCCTTTCAGGCCTTGGAGAGGACCTGAAACAAGAAGCACAGAGAGGAAGAAGGGAGAGTGGACAGAAGGTGTCTAGGAATGAGGTAGAATGGGTGCCTGGGCCATTCTCACCAGCTTTGCCTTTCTTTGTGTCTAGGAGTGACAGTACAAGCTCTGTCCACAGTTCCCGTCATGTTTAGCTACTGGGTGAGTATAAAACCTCAAGCCATCTCCTTGATAGTGGAGGCTCAGGTCCAGTTGTCCAACATGTGTATCAAACTCTCATCACTGCTCCCCCTCAAGCCATCCTCCCTTTTAAAGATCAGCAGTATCCTCTCCCAGGCCTATTATCTTAGTCATGTTCTTGATCTAATAGAGTAGCCCGTATGTCTCTGCGTTACTTGCCCTATAATTCCATTGAACAGTATAGACTCAGTCTTAACACCTCTAGAATTTACTTGTCTGATGTCTTATTTCTGAAACACCTTGCTGGGGAACTGATAAGCCAATATATTCAGAGGTAAGAATGTTTTGAATTAAGATGCACAAGGTCTAATATATTCCTCTTCCAGATAAATATCCAATTTAAAAGGAGTGTCTTAGAATTGGACACCTTTCCAAACACAGAAAGTTTTAGGCATGATTTTCAGCCTGTGGAGGATGCATGAAGTACATTTGTACTTGCTCCTATTATGATTTAAGAAGCAATGAGAGGGCTAGGAATTTAGCTCAGCACCTGCCTGGCAAGCGTGAGGTCCTAATTTAGATTCCAAGTACCAAAAAAAGAAAAAAAGAAGAAGTAATGAAAAACTATCCACTCACACACACTTGCCCCACCTGTATTCAGAAACCCACTATTAGGGATTCAGTCTCCAAAGTTTTTCTTTGTTCCTGTGATTAGATTCACTACTTAAAACACCAAAACTTCAGGATGCCTGAACTTATCAAACCACTTTGATCAAACAACTTGGATTCCAAACTCCTAGCCGTAGGATGATGTTGAAAGGAAGAAAACAATGAAGAAGTTAGAACAATGAAAAGCAAACTTCATCTGGTTCTGTATTCTGCTAAGGCCAGGCCTGAATGCCATAGCCAACGGAAAGAACAGCGAGGAGGACAGGCAGGGATAGAGAAGTCCCTAAACAGACTTAGTATACCTTGATCAGCAGCAAGAAAGTACCCTGATTGTGGCTTCAGACACTGTGCCAGATCCAGTCTCCTTGTTGCAGAACCATCCTCATTCCATTTATAGAATGGAATAATCCAGTAATTAGGATGTTAGAAGGCTCAATGGTAGATTTCAGCTTCAATTTTTCTAATCAATGAATAATACATTGGTAGTTTCTTTGCTTTTTGTTTTGTTTTGTTTTGTTTTTACAAAGATCGTGTCTTCAGTAGCCAGTGTTTTTCTCAGCTGGGCCTCAGTTTCCTAAGTAGTAAAGCCACTGAAAAAAGACAAGTATCTTATCCAAGAGGTCTTCAGAGGAAATGTCTAAAGAAGTATGCTTTGAATAATATTTTTCCCTTTCCTTTTTCCACCAGGCCAAACCTCAGGATACTCTAGAACTGTGTCAGATTTTAAACAATGACTTAGCTGCCACAGTTGCAAGCCATCCCCGGAGGTTTGTGGGTCTGGGGACATTGCCCATGCAAGCTCCCAAGCTGGCCATCAAGGAGATGGAGCGCTGTGTAAAGGAGTTAGGCTTTCCAGGGGTCCAGATTGGCTCCCACATCAACACGTGGGACCTGAATGAGCAGGAACTCTTCCAGTTCTATGAAGTGAGTATGCAGCTGAAACCTTGCCAAGGGACAACTGCAGAACACCCGGCTGGGGCTAAGCACTGCTTTAGAGGCTGGTGGGGAGACGAAGACACCACTCCACTGTAGGGTGGGGAGACAGAGATGCCAGTGACTTTAGATGTAGGTATGAAAACCAAAACTCCTTTAAAAAAAATGAATAGGTCATTCTACAGAAGAGGAGCAGTGCAACTGCTTGCTAGGCCAGTTCTGAGTTAACTCCATGATGAAATCTTTTCTATCACCCTTTTTCTCCTTTGGAAGCCTAAATATCATCCTCATCACAGCCTCTGTGCATAAGAACTACATTAATGACATAAAAAATTATTAACTTTGGAAAAATATTTTTAAAATTTTTAAATATAAATTTTAAAGAAATTGTGGAAAAGACAGAAAAATATATGTACATTCAGCAAAATTGAAAGTGTTACACATACAATTTCATATCCTGAGAATTTCCAAATTAAATGAAAATTAACTTAATCTGTGATTTTATTTGAGAAAGGATTTCGCTGTGTACTTTAGACTGGCCTTGAACTCACTATATAGCCCAAGTTGGGATTACAGGTATGCACCACCATGTCTGACTTAACGTGTGATTTTAAATAACTGTAGAATAATACAATGCATGGATATTCCGTGATTTCTTTAAGCAATTCTCAATTAACAAACTTTTAGAGCCACATATTTTGAAAATGTGTAATAAAAATATATAATGAAAAATAATCCCATGAATATGTTAACATTTGATAAAACAAGATAATGAACATATATGTGTGTTTACCAAATAGTATCTATCATCTCATAATCTTTTCCATTAGCCTTTCTCTTTTTTCTGCTCAGTCTATAAATATACTTGCTGTCTTTAGTGCCAGGATTAAAAATTCATTGTGCTTTACTCAATAGCCTTTTAAAATTCCTTCCTTTCTTCCTAGCATTATGATGGTAAATTATTTTCTATTGTTTCCTTAATAGTGACTTAAATAGATGTTTGTAGTCTCACCAGGAACTATGTTTACTGTCATTTATTTATTTAATATTTATTAAGCTCTAATTATATGCAAAACTCTTCCATGTTTGTATCTATGGTGATGGCCTATCAGATGGGGATTGCCTATTAAATTGTCTCCTAATGACCTGAAAGATTTAATGTTCCTCTAAATATCAAACTTCCTGAAGCTTATTGGCTGCAATTGCTTAACTGATGCCATGAATATTTTTTGGAAACTTTAGTGAGCTTTGAAAAAAGATTTCTTTACTTGCATATTCAAGTTGTTTCAGCACAGTACTACCAAGACTTCATCTATGTCATTTTATTATTTATTAGAATTAGGTTTATGAATTACTAAGGGAGTTAGATGGCATTGTAGACAGTTGGGATCCAAGTAGTTATTTTCATTTGTATGACAAGTTTGACTCACCAATCATTCTAGTTAGATTGTTGGGGAAACTTCCAGTCTCCAAAGGATTCAGGGGCATATCCTGACCCCTGCTGATTTGTAATGTCCCAGGGTTAATAGCACATTTGTTTGGTCAGCAAAGTTTGCCTCCCTAACTACCCTCTAGCTTGAGTCAGCAACATGCTCAAACAAGTACAAGAAAACTACAAAAGTCAAGCTGACTGTTATCTCAAGGTAAGCCTAGTGCTGGCCCAGAGTTTCTACCTGTGTCCCTCTTCTCTCGTGTTACTCAGTGTACATAGTTATACATATTCATGTCCATTTTCAAGTACAAAAATGACTTTATTATCAGTATGAGGCAGATAAAAGGGTAGTGCCAGATTGCCTAGCTCTAACATTAATCAGCCATAATATTTGAGTAAGTTACTTAGGTTTTATTTGCCTCAGCTTCCTTCTCTGTAAAATGAGGGGAATACCAGTGGTCATCTGATAATGAATTGAAGTAATTAATAACTGTAAATTTTTGTGGCACTAGAGATTGAATTCAGGTACTTGCATGTGGTTAACAAGCATTCTACCACTAAACTATGAGCTTAGACTCAATAATTGTAAAATTCTTCAAACAGCTTTGGTGCATACCAAGTTGTCAGTGAGTTTTGTGATTCTGAGAGAAGTGGGTTTGTGTTCTCCATAATATCTCATATTTAGGAGATTTTTTTAAATTATTAATTGGAGTTAAATTGAAATGAACCATTACAAGTATATAGAATAAAGTTTTATAGCCAAAACTTAATGACGATCAAATCCTAATAAAATATCATAATTATATGCCTTTGCAAAGTCCAAACCATCCCAAGAAAACAATGTTCTCTTTGCAATCTACATCCATTATCAAAAATCAATTAGTCCCTCTTCCTTCAAAAGATTTATATCTTTCTGCTGTTGAGTCAGAAATCTTCTTCATTTATCCTTTGCCTACCATTCCCAGAGTCTCCTGTTGTCCAAAACTATTTTTATATTTTAAAAATGCATACATACACAAGTCACATTGCATCAGCCTGGTTAACTCAAATATTTATGAATGAAGATAGGATGAGCCACTTTAGCACTCCTACATTTAGAAAGAAAATGTACTGAGGAAAATCTGTTTTTAAACCTTAGTAAGCACTAACATTCAATGCTTGTTGAGGAACTTATCTTGATAAACATTTTGGTAAATGAATGTCATTCCATCCAGATGGTATTTCCATTTCTCAGAAGACTTGGAACACATTTGTCCATGACATGTCTCTTGTTTTTGCCTTGGCTCAGGTTCTGAGAGGTTATTCCTTACCCAGGTCATTATTCATGGTACACTGTTCAGGGACCTCTGGGGGCTATATGAGTACCTACATGCCCCAGAAAATTCCCACCTAGTTTGGGCTCTGAGTGACTCAATGGCTTGAATTAAGCCACCCTTTCCCATTCCCCAGCCCTAAGACCCTGACACTCAGCCCAGCATTTCCTCACTTTGTACAACTTGAAGTTTCTGACTCCTGCCCTGACTCCTAGAATATTATCTTAACCATCCCTCCCAAAGAATAGACCAAGTAGGACCAAGCAGGGAAAACTTTCTCTACATTTGAAGTGTGGGGTTACTACTTGAGCATTTTCACCTCAGCCAAAATATTTGAGTGATGAATGCTTCCTGTGATTTATTTTGCCAAACAATATATTAGATTTATCAACCTCAATGGTAAAATCCACCAATTCCTTTTATGAATTCTAAATGTCCTTTGTAATTTTCCAAGTAGGAGCAGTTTGTTAATGACTCTTTTACACACATCCAAAAAAAACATCTTCAAAAGTATTTTAGTTATTAAAATCAGTATAGACTTAGGAAAAAAAGCAGTTCCCCCAAAACAGTACCTTGTATTTATAACTTTCTTCTCTTACTGTTTCTTTGAAGGTGGCAGAAAGGCTGAACTGTTCCCTGTTTGTGCATCCCTGGGACATGCAGATGGATGGAAGAATGGCCAAATACTGGCTCCCATGGCTTGTAGGTTTGTGTCAGCTTGAGGTCTGGAACAGAGAACCAACTCTTGGGTTTTTCCAATTACCTGTGTAACCCTACTATATCAAAAAGAGAAAGTAAAATTAACAGGATTGAGAGTAATAGCAACTATCATTTACTGAACTCTTAAATCAGCACGGTATGTATTACCTTGCTTAACTTTAATCATATCCAATGTATTTATAAGTAAATCACACATTTCATTTACAAGGTTGACATTTTAATGACGATACAGATGGAGAAACTGAGTCTTGAAGTGGTTAAGAACATTGTCCAAGTTACACAGTTAGTAAGAGAAAATAGAATTCATAGATCTGCCTGACTCCAAAGGCACTTTGCTAACACAAGCTTCCAAAAAGGCTCCAATATCATCTGTCATAAATAACAACACTGTAATTGCAAGTAGAAGGCCAACTCCTCCCATCTAAGGATCTTGAAACCTTAAGTTGTAGAGACTTTCAATGTTCCTTTTATGTGTTCTCTCTTCTGTCCTTTGCCTCCTGCATTATTTGTTCATATTCCACATTATAATGACAGAAAAAGAAAAAGGAGAAATCCCATTTGTCCTATCCAAGCTCTCATTACCAACCCAATAAGAAGAAAACATGGAGAACACATGCTAAAACGTACAACTCACCTAAAAACTCGATGAAAAGTGGGTCCCTAAGTGAAGTGTTGGACTTTATAAGGGGTCCCTATCCATTCATTCACTTGCCAGCCCAATTAGTAACTGGTACTTAATCAAAATAGCAACCACCCAAAATGAAGAATTAAATGAAGCAATACATTGGAAATCAAAGTCAGAATTTCAATTCCAGTTTAGTCTCTATATCATGGCATAATTTGTAGCATATTTATTCGCCTCCTTTGGCTCCATTTCCTCATTTGTAAATAAGACACCTTGTCTGGATTCCTCCAGTAGTTTCTGTCTGCTATAGTATTTTACATATTTTATAGTCCTGTAATTGTTAGTGAAAACCAAAGTATTTAACATAGCAGGTACCCACACATACCCCACTAACTTTTTCCTACTAATTGTTGCTTTAAAACATAGTGCTGTCCAGACCCCCCAAATAATTTCATTCTAATTCACAAAACCTTGACAAATTTCATAAACTTATTTATAAATTACAACTCCCCCCCTCTTTGGAGGCTTACCCCATCATTCTTTTTTTTTTATTTAAGGAGAAAAGGGGGGAAAAAAGCAGAAAAAGGGTACAAGTTATACAGAATTTCAGAAAAAAAATAAATAGGAAATCACTAGTTAATGGATTACATATTGTCATCTTAGAAATATTTGTTCAAGTTACAAGATTAAAGCATATAAAGTGGACATTCAAACAGCGAGACTGCAAACAGTTCTGTTCAATGATCCACAAAACTCAGTAATATCATTGTCTATCTTATACACTTAAATTTACATGCAGTTATACCATTTAGAGCACTTTCTTTTCCTCTCTTTTGTACAATGACTATTACACATTTTGGGTTTTATTGCTCCCACAGTTCTTATTGCTTTTTTTGGAAGAGAGTAAAACCAAATGTGACTTAACAGAATAGAATCAGTTAAATCAAAAGGGTGGACATAATAGATAATGTAAAAACCTAATACAAGGTGGTCAACAATGGTTACCATAATGCCTCCCGCTATCTCAAATAGAATTGCCTACATCATCAGTTATAATAAAATTGAACAAAACAGTAAAGAATGAAACCAACAAAACCAAAACATTGGAGACATTATAGGTCTTCAAAAGTAGATAATATTCAACCAGTATGGGTGTCATAATGAATCCCATTATCTTCACAGCTGTTGCCTAAACTTTTGAACCTGGTACTATCAAGCAAAGCAGAATAGAGGAACATCACTCAAAACAAGATGGTGAGAGCAATACAGGGCTTCAAATCAAGTTAATAGAATATCAAAGTGGGTTATTATAATATATCCTGCTTTTTTAAATTTATTTTCCCTTTAAATAAAAGGATAAAAATAAAAAAGTAAATAATAAAATGGAGATTGAGATAAAAGAGGGCATAACAACTAAACAGTGCAGATCAACACATAACCATTTAAGCAAAATAGTGTTTCACCACAAGATAATCCCAACATAAAAGTTACCATATTGTCTCTTTCCTTGAGATCTTCAGTATACCTTCATATACTGTAGCATCAAATATATCAACACAATGTATAACCATTCAAGAGAATGACAGTATTACAGGGTATTTAGAATCAACTAACAGATAATGAACTATGGTTTCTGTATAGCTCCTTATCTATAAAAGTTTTTGTTTATACTATCACATATAATAAAATCCAATAAGATACAACATGTTAAGACCTATGGAGACAGAAGAACAAAAGCTTGATGGAGCTTCAAAATAAGATGATACCAAATCAGCACTACCTATTATGACGTTTTCTCCAAGATAGCTGTTCCTATCATCCAATCTTCTCTGTCTCATTTCTCTTGAGTTCTTTTTCTGTCATTAGTTGTCAGCTTGTCTTCTTCATTTTGTTTTCAGCTCCATTCATTGTGGCCTCTCTGCCACCATTTCTGGATTCTTCGTATTTTTCTTTTTTAGAATATCCTGCAGTATTCTCTGTAGAGTTGAATTGGTGGTTGCATTCCCCTAGTTCCTCTTTATCCTGAAAGCACCTTGTTTTTCCATCAATTTCCAGGAATAGTTGTGCAGGATATCTCAATCTTGGCTGGAGGTTATTATCTTTCAAAGCTTGAATTATTTCCCCCCACACTCTTTGTGATTTGATGGTTTGTGCTGAGAAGTCTGCTGTAATTCTGATGGGTGTTCCCTTGTAAGTGATATGTTTCTTGTCTCTGACAGCTTTTAATATTCTGTTCTTATATTGGATTTCTGGAATTTTGATTATTATATGCCTGGGTGTATCTCTATTTGGGTTGTAGGTAGCTGGAGTCCTGTATGCCTCATATATCTGAGTATCTTTACCATTTGCTAAATTAGGGAAATTTTCTTGGATTATTTCTGTGAATAGCTTTTGTATTCCATTTGTTTGTGTCCCCACTTCTTCTCTTATGTTCTTAATTCTTAAGTTATAGATCCTCTTATCATCTTCTAGTTTTTGTATTGTTGCTGTTTGGGGTTTTTTTTTTTTTTGTTATTTTTAAGAAGTTTTTCATTTCATGGTCCCATATTACAAATCTGCCCTTCAGTTCAGATAATCTGTCCTTAGTTTCTTTCAAGCTGTTATGCCAGCTTTCAATAGAGTTTTTAGTTTCCTGGTAATCTCTTAGAACCTGCTTCACATATTCTATGTGTTCTCTATTTTCTCCATCAAATAATTCTCCCCTCTTTTTCTGTTCTTCCATTCCACCATCTGCTTTTTCTTGGGTGGTGCTTAGCATTTCTCTCACTATTCTGCTTATGTCTTGCTTCAGGTCATTAATAACTTCATTCCTGAACTCATCTATGAGGCTCTGGAGATAGCCTTTTAAGTCTATTGGTGGCGTGTCTGCTATTGCCTGCTTCTCAGGATTGGGGGCCGAGGAGCCTTTCTTGTTGCTCCCTGTTCCCATATTCTTTGTTCCTTATATATGCAAGCGTATATAGGAGGCCCAGCTTCCTTCCTTGTCGGCCACAGTCTGACTGAATTGCCCTGGCTAGGTGTTCCCGCCCACCGCAGCACACCAGGGAGTTACGAACCAGGCAGTCTATGCGGGGCCTGCCCCTCCAGGTCAACCTACCGAAAGGCCTCACCACTAGGGTGCACCTTCAGGCGCTGGGATCTGGCTTGTGCTAGCCTACTGGGTCTCAGCCAGCAGCGCACGTAGGCTAGGCACTGCTCACCAATCCCGCTTGAGAGGGGGATATGTGACTGAAGTCACTACAGCTCCCTGTTTCAGCAAGTCTGCCTGGTCCCAAAATGTCCTCTGTTGGCGCTTCCTAGACCATGGGAGAGTCCCAGTTTCCTTCACTCACTGGAGGTCGATGCACAGCTCCCGCCCGCCCAGCTCTTAACTCCATTTACCGATTCTTGTTCTCAGCGCTTTTGTGAGTCTCTGTCCCTGCCGAGCCGATTCAGATGCAGCAGGAAACCCAAATCGTGACTTTCAATGGCGCGGGCTCCAGCTTCCACACTCAGGCTTTATCCGTTCCTGTTATAGCACCAGGATTGCATTCCCAGTTGGTATCTCTCAGCCCAGTTCGTTCTTGGGTCAGCAGGGTATATCTCTTCTTGGTTAGGATTCCTCCCTCCGCACCATTCCTGGATTCTAAGCTGGGTCTCGGAGAGAGCCTGCGTAGCTGCTGCTGTCTGCCATGTTCTCTGGATCTCTCAAATTACAACTTTTGACATGAGTATTTTCATATAATCATTTTATCATTTCTATTTTATCATTTCTTTACACAATGAATATATATTGATCTTTCCACCATGCCAAGCCCTGTATGTGAAATATGAACAAAATTGCTATCCCTAATGAAGCTTACATTCCAATCAGAGAAAAGGGATGATAATCAAATACACAGATCATAAACAAATAGGTTAATTTCAAAACTTTACCATGAATGCAAAGGTGATTTTTAGTGGATTGGAGGAAGAGTCACAATCCATTGTGACTATAACTTTGGCTCTTTGTGGAGAATGGCTTGTGAGGCTATCTCTCAAGTAATTAATGGGAAGCAAAATCACAGGTCCAAGCTGGGTATGGGGGCACATTCTTGTAATCCCAGAATTTGGAAGGCTGAGGCAGGAGGATTGTTGCAAGTTTGAGACCAACCTGGGCTACAAAGTGAACTCAAGGCCAACCTGAATTGCATAGCAAGACCCTGTCTCAAAAAGACAAAAAAAAATTACAGGTACAGAAGGAAGTGGTATGGTCCATCCACCTGCCACCAGGGAGCTCTCCTCCAAAACCACTTAGACATGGATATGAATCCATCCTGCTTCCAGAATTCACAGGAAGCTGAAGAGATAGGGCCTCTCTCCTTGTGGAGCATTGACAGACAAAATGAGTGTCCAGTGGAACCCTAATCAACAGACCAAAAATAGGTGCCCCCATAGGTACAGAGTAGATCTGTGGAGCAGTCAGAGATCTCTGAGCCACAGTCTGAAAAGCAATCATGTGGCAATGCTATCCAAAGTGGTATCTAGGGCACAAACACATCAGACATGGACCATGGATTAGCTACATCTTGGAGCACAAAGCACTTGAAACAATTCACAATAATCCACTAATTTTCAACCTTAACCATGAGAGACAGCAATGATTTGGCAGAAATAACAGTAACAGTTAATATTTAGTTAGCGAGCAATAACTGTCAGGTGCTGTCTACTAAATCCTCAAAACAACCCAGTGGCAGGACCTAGTTTTTATTATGATCATTTTATAGATGAGGAAATTGAGATACAGAGAACAACTAGTACTTGTTGAGCATCTCCAATATGAAATTCTTCCCAAGAACTTTAGTAATGTCATTATTTGCAAAGCTTATCACAGGCCAAAAGTTAGAGAATTGCAAGAGCTAGCATTCAGCTCAGACTCCTTATATATTGCTTGCCTCATGCATCCAAAACTAAAGTCAAGAGAATCAGGACAAAACATGCCCTAGCCACTACACTCTTCTCTTTGAAGATGGCAAATAGTAAGCATCCAATGACTTTCCTCACCTAGTAATGGCCTGTATACAGCCAAACCACTCTTGAGAACAGGAACTCAATGATTATTGGCACTGGAAATTCCCCAGATATTACCTGCTATTTCCCTGGTAATTAATATCACTGAGCATCTTCTGGGTGAAGGGGACAATCTTGACTTTGTGACTATTTCTTCTTTCAGGAATGCCTGCAGAGACCACAATAGCTATTTGTTCCATGATAATGGGTGGGGTGTTTGAGAAGTTTCCTAAACTGAAAGTGTGTTTTGCACATGGAGGTAAGACCCTACTTGTATTAATCACCCTAGCCTGCTATAACAAAATATATAGATTAGGCAGCTAACAACAGACATTTATTTTCTCATGGTTCTGGAACTAGAGAAGTCCAAGATCAAGGTGGTTTCTCATAAGAGCTTTTTTCCTAGTTCATAAATGCCCCTACCTTTGTGTATGTATGCATGGCCAGGGAGTGGAAAGGGAGATGGGGGAACGGAAAGGGGAAAGCACAGGTGTTTCTTCTTTTTTACAAGGAAATCGGCCTTTATGGATTAGAGCCTTGCCTTTCACACTAAAGTAATTTTCTTTTTTTATTTTAAAGAAAGTAAAACAAAGCATAACAAAACAGATCAATGCTGATCAGAAGAAAACAATGTGAGTGACACAGATTTCAAAGCAAGACAACAGGAGATCTACAGTGGCTACCATAATGTCTCTTATTTTTTTCCTAAATAGCTGTCTATCTTCAAACACAATGAGTTCATACAAAACAAGATAGTATAAAAGTAATCAGAATAGAGTAACAAAGTTATTACAGGCCTTCAAAAGCAGACAATAGGAAAATCAACAATGGCTGCCATAATGTCTCTTGTTCTCTTCAAAATAGCTGCACATAACTTCATGTATGTTGAAATTATACAATACAAAAGAGACTAAAGACACTCTGAACAAAGAATAAAAGCATTACTGGATTTCACAGCATGATGATATGGAATCAATAATGGATATCATACTGTCTCTTTTTCTTCAACGTAGGTGTTCATTTTTTTATTTAAAGAAAAAAGAAAGAAAACAAGACAAAACATTAAAAAGAGTAGAAGTAATATAGAATTTCAAAGAAAAATATTGACACTAAGAAATTACTGGTTGATCAGTTACATATTGTCCTCTTAGAAATAGCTGTTCAAGTTACAAAATCAAAGCAGTAGACACTCAAACACTGACAGTGCAAACCATTCTGTGCAATGATCTAATGGAAACTTAGTAATATGGTCATCTATCTTACACACTTAAACATCAGTATAGTTATATCCTTTAGAGCACTTTCCTTCCCGTAGCTATTCATTTCATCAAGCATAATATAATGGATTCTCATAAACTGTTTAGAAGTTCTAGGCATGTATAAGCCTCTACATATATATCTATGCTTTCTGCATTAGAGGGAAAACAAAACAGATTACTAGAAAAACAAGAAACAAGAGAGACAAATAACAATACCAAAGAGCCCAAAACAATGATGATATTGGCCTTCAAAACAAGGTGGTAGGAACATAACTAAGGTTGTTATTTGACATGGTGATCTTCAAAAGAGTTCCTCAGATCACCAGACACAAACATCCAAAATTGTGCCAATCCTATGAATGTTAACTGTTTTGTCCAAGAACTTATAGAACTAGTAGCACAATCATCAGTTATCCTAAGTGTGTTTGATGAAATTTAGATATTTTTTCTTTTCCCTTCCTTTTTCTTTTTCCTCTTTTTCCTTGAGCTATTATTTTCCCCTCTTTGAGCAGATACTTACCCTTTCACTGTACTTATTAAGGATTTTGTATCTTATGTACACTTATCATTTCTTACACTAGGGAGACAAAATGGTACTTATATATGTGAGTTTGATTTATTTCACTTGTGAGTATAATCTCAAGTTATATTCATTTACTTATAAATATCTCAATGTGATCATTCTTTATAGCTGAATAGTACTCCATTGTATAAAAGTACCACATCTTTTTTATCCATTCCTCAGTTGATGGGCATTTAGGTTGTTTCCAAGATCTGGCTATTACAAATTGTGCTTCTATAAACATGGGTCACATTTATCACTGTGATATGATGTTTTCAGCTCTTCTAGGAATATGCCCAGAAGTAGAGTAACTGGGTCAAATGGGACTTCCAATATCAACTTTTTGAGGAACTTCCAGACTGACCTCCACAGTGGTTGCACCAGTCTACACTCCCACCACCAGTACAGAAGAGTTCTTTTTTCCCCACAGCCTCTCTAGCATTTGTTATTTGTGGATTTCTTGATCTTGGCCATTTGTTCTGGAGTGAGATGGAATCTCAGCGTTGTTTTAATTTGCATTTCTCTAATGACCAATGATGCTGAGCATTTTTTCATGCATTTATTTACCATTTGTATTTCTTTATCTGAGAACTGTGTATTCATCTCAGATGCCCATTTTTAGATCGGGTCTTTGAATTTTGGGGGTCTAGTTTTTTTTTTTTTAAATCTTTATATGTTCTAGACAGAAGTCCTTTGTCTGAGGGACAGTTAACTAAGATTTTTTCAAATTTAATGAGTTTCCTTTTAACTCTGTTGGAGAGTTATTTCAACATGTAAAATTTTTTTAGTAAAACAAGATCTCAGTTATTGATTCTGGGAAGTATTTCCCATGCAGTTGGATTTTTGTTCATGAATTCTCTACCTATCCCTATGTCCTCAAGATTTCTACCTACTTTTTCTTCCAGCAGATCTAGTGTTTCTGTTTTAATATTTAGATCTTTGACCCCTCTTAACTTTAGTTTAGTGCATGGTGATAGGCATGGGTCTAGTTTTAGCTTTCAGCATATGGAGAGCCAGTTTTTCCAGCACCACTTATTATAGAGACTATCTTTCTTCCAATGAATGTTTTTGGCCCCTTTTTCAAAGATAAGGTAGCTGCACACTCAAGTAATTTCATTACTTCTGTAAAGGCTCTGTCTCCAAATACAGTCATATTAGAATTAGAACTTCAATAGAGTTATTCTGGATGAATACAATCAACTTTCCAGTCATAATTCTATTCATATGATAATTGGGACTAAATTCCATTTTTATAGACAGGTTTAGTTTTTGTTTAATTGCATTTTGGGGTGTGATTTTTTTTGGTAATTTTTTTTTGGTTTGTTTTTTGTTTTTTTGTTTTGTTTTATTTTGTTTTGTTTTGTTTTGTTTTTGCTTTGATACTGGGGATTGAACTCACAACCTCGCAACTGCCATGCAGGCACTATGCCATGTTTAATTAAATTTTGTTTTTATTTAAATCTCTCCAATCAGACCAACAGCTCTCCAGTCTCTACTATGCTCCATTATTTACAAAGGCCTAATCCATTCCTCTGTATTGTTTGCCTGTTCTCTGTAGATAACTGAGAGTGTGATTTTTGAACATACATACCTTTACATACATAATATCACACTATACATGTTATTCTCTAACCTGCTTTTCCTTCCCAACATATAGGGAAGATATCGTCCCATGTCAATAAATACAGAGTTTTATCAATTTTTCATGAATTTGTGCATAGCATTTCATTTTATGGAAATACCATCATGATTTAGATATCACTCAAATGATAATATTGTCTTGATATTTTTGCTACGATAACCACACACATTTGAAGCGTTGACACTCATATTTGAATGTTTGTCTTTTGTCTTTGGGATAAATTTCTCATGTCTGACTTTCTAGATGAGTCATATCATTTCTTTTCAATCATCTCACATTATTTGGATGCACCGGGTCCTTTTAAATACTGTTTATCAGTTAAGCTATGGTAACCTCTCTGTGCCCAAAACACCAAGACTGAAAGGAATCCTTTTTAATTCACACTCTGACTTATGTATTTTACTTGCAGGTGGTATGTTCCCTTTCACAGTGGGAAGAATCTCACATGGATTCAACATGCGCCCTGATCTATGTGCCCAGGACAATCCAACTGATCCAAAGAAATACCTAGGCTCCTTTTACACAGATTCATTAGTTCATGATCCTGGAGCTCTCAAGTTGTTAATGGATGTCATAGGAAAGGTAAGCTGAACCTCACATTTGGATGATTTATCAGGAGCAACATGCTCCATTAGTACCCAGCTGCTTAGCAAGTTAAACATTTTTTTAGGGAAGACCAATGTGAATTAGTAAAAAGTCTGAAATATTTACAATTTGTTGCTCAAAGGGAACTGACTCCAGGACCCCAAAAGAAACTAATTTTCTCAGATGTTCATGACCTTATATTAAATGGTACAACATTTACATACAATCTGCAAGCACCCTCTTATATACTTTAAATAATCTCTAAAAGACATATTACTTAAGACAATGTGAATTCTATGTAAATAGTTGTTACACTGTGCTATTTATGGGACAATGGCAATGAAACAAAATAATTTGTACATGTTCAATACAGAAGCAACTTTATTTATTTATTTATTTATTTTGGTATCAGGGATCAAACTCTTGACCTCATGCTTACCAGGCAAATGCTTGAGCCAGTGAGCTAAACCCCGACCCCTACAGAAGCAATTTTTTCCCAAACATTTTGATTCAAAGTTACTTGAACCCAAGAATATGTGACCTATAGATATAGAAGACTAACCATATTTCAGTTCCATGTTTCAGTCATATTTCAGTGAATGTATGTATATACATGTATATTCAAGATTCTTAAGTATCTATCAAAGGTCTCCAAATTTTTCCAGGGCAAAAAATTCTTTGAGGTTTTCCAAAAATATATGGACATATTTAAGAATTTTCAGTGAGGTTCTTGGATTAAGATTAGACTCTAAACTTTCCTAAAATTTGTTTGATGAATTAAAAGGCCTATAATTCATAAGTACAAGTAGTGTTTTAGCACCCAAATGGATAGTTCATCTCACTTTAATGCTGTTCCTCTAGTTTCAAAAATAATTAGTACATAAATGTTAAACATTTTAGTTTAGTAATAAATTACAGTAGTCCTATCCAAGTGCTGCAATTAAGCTTAGTTGTTAACATGATTGAATTGAGAGACTTCTGGAGATGTGATTGGATTATGGGGTACCATATTCATCGGTGGGTAAGTCCACTGATATTCATAGCTGAATGTGCTGTTGGGAAGGCGGGCCCATTTAGAGAAAGTGGGTTACAGGAGGCACACCATTGGAGGGTACATTTCTCACTGGCGCTCCTCCCCTGTGCTTTGCTTCCTGGCTGCCATGAAGTGAGTAACTTTTCTCCACTATAAGTCTCTAGCATGATGCTCTTGCCTTGGTGTCAGTTAACTAAGGATTGAACCCTCTGAAACTGTGAGCAAAAAATAAATCTCTCCTTTAAGTTATCAGTGTCAGGTACTTTGACACTGTCAACTTAACAATCCTCAATGGATGCCTAAAAATACTGATGTTAGCAAACACTATATAGAAGCACTGAGATACTGTAGAAGTCAATTTGGTAACCAAGATGGCTGCTACGTGACTAATGGGGACTAATAGTTCTTACATAGCATACAATGTTGGATAAACATTGTAAAATAGTTTTTACATAGCATACAATGTTGGATAAACATCCAGCATACAATATGCTGGATAAAGGGATGTTTCATTTCAGGTTGCACAAAGTAGGGCAGTGCAAGATTTCACCAGGCTACTCAGAATGGCATACAACTTTAAACTTATGAAGTGTTTATTTCTGGCATTTTCCATTTAATATTTCTGGACTGTTATAAAACAAGAGAAACTTTGGAAAGCAAAACCTCAGACAAAGGGACACTACCGTATGCCATTGTGCTGTGTCTTTACATTGTCTAGCTTCTATGCTATCCTAATAGAGATGGTGGTTAGCAGTCAGTTGTGACCAATAATTGTTTTGGGTGTGAATGAAAGGTGATGGTGGTACTATATAAGTTAAAAGTACAAAAAGGAGAAGCCAAAAAAATCTTTATGGGCTCTGGACTTTAACCAATGAAAAAGGGGGAGAAGGCAAGTAATGCAGAATTGGAGAAAGGGTCATTCATATTACCTCCCAACAAGCTTAGTACCTCCACATATTCTTGGAACTGAAAACATCAAGAGAAAACACCCTTGACCCATACAAAGCCTGCTCTGAGTAACATCAGCAGTGAGGAATATTACCAAGACCTTTAAACAAGTACCTAAGGCAATACACACTGGCCAGGGAGCTAAAGCAGAAGAGAAAGAACAGGGCAAGTGCTTCACGGTAACTGATAGGTAGATGAATTGGTGAGAACATGTAAATATTCTTCTAACAGGGCCCCTAGAAAAACTTAAAGGGCATGTTGCAAAAGAAATGATACTGACAGCCTACACTCAAATTGTAAAACCATAAACCACTATAATTTGGGCATTCAAAGTAAATTTAACTTCATTTTATGTGACTTCACAGGCTAATGAATCTAGGACATAGAAGCTAGATACATTAATAATTTAGGGTTCTCTTTAAAATATTAATGCTTCTGCATTTTATATTCACATTAGCAAATTCTCTTTACAATTACAAAATCAAAACAACTAAAGAGAGTCCTACCAGGACATCTGGATTATAATATAACCAGTCTAGTGCAACCAGTCTAGATTAGAGCAAGAGAGTAGATTTCTGTGGAGGGAGGTATCCAGGAAGGAAAACTACTGAATTGATGGATTATTGATATATTTGAGAGTTGGAAACAGTTATTGCCAGACATTAGATAGATCTGTTAATGCTTTAAGATCAAATAACACTTGCATAAAAAACCAAGAAAAGGAAATAATTCCAAGAAAACAATTTGTATGGGGGCAGATAATCATTGTACATTATCTCACTCAGCACTGAACAATATTTAAAGTATAAATACTAATTATTGCTTTAACTGAAAAATTATAGTTGTATTGGAAAATTAAAATGTTTAAGGGTAAGAAACAAATTTTCACTGACCACAGTGGTAAATACTCTCTCAGGCTAATAAATCAAGACATGAAGGCATAAACTTACCATCTTGGAATACGAAGGGAGTTATCAGAAAATGTAAATTAAATATGGATATTGGGAGGAATAACATTATAGAACTAATCTAATCATAACAGGATGATGAAGGCTTTTTAGGTCTTCAAGATCTGACATTGGGGGAGTCAAAAATGGCTGGCATAATGTCTCTCATTCTCTTTGAAGTAGCTGTCCATATCTTTACATATGATGAAATTAAACTTGAGAGTCTAGACTAATATCACTCTGAACAGTGAATAATAGTATTGCTAGATTTTATATCATAATGCTACAGAATTAGCCCTGGGTATCTTAGTGTCTCTTCTTCTTCAGAGTATCTATTCATTACATCGTGCATTACATAATCTGTTCCCGTAAACTGTTTAGAAATTCTCCACATTTGTGAATCTCTACATGTATATCTATCCTTTCTGTATTATAGGGAAAAACAGAACAAAACAAGACAACAAAACAAATTCCTAGAAAAACGTGAAATGAAAAAGACATATAAAACCACAATGTTAGGTGATCTATAGTAGTTACTATGCTGTCTCTTGTTATTTTCAATAGAATTGTCTACATCATCAGACATAATATAATTGAACATAGCATTACATAGCAATTTTAATAAAAACATAGCATGGGAGACATTGTAGGACTTCAAAAGCAGTTAATAATCAAACCAGAATGGGTTTCTTATTACATCTTGTCATCTTCAGAGTGGTTGTCTCTACTCTTAGACTTCATAATATCAAGCAAATTCAAATAAAATCAGTTAAGACAAAACAGCAGTCTAACATCAGCTTCAAATAAGATCAATCATAGTAAAACAATGTAAGTAATACAGGGCTTCAGTTAATAGGAAATTAAGGATAGTTACCACCGTAGAGCCTGGTATTTTGGGGATAGCTGTCTGTGCCCTCAAATCTAGTATGAGAAGACAGACTGGAAAAAAATATAAAACAGAGCAATAAGACTAATGTGGTTTTTAAATCCTGATACACATTAACAATGTCCTCTGCCTTCCTTTTTTAGGCAATTCCTCCACTTTCCCTTTTTCAGGGTGCTTTGTATATTTTGGGTCCCACTAACTCCTTTAGTTTTTAGATTACGGGGGCAACCCGTTATCTATCTGAGTGGTGCTGAACCTTTTTACACCTGAGCTTGATCTTGAGCTGTATTCCTTTACTTACTAAAGCCACTTCCTTCCTTCTAGCTGAGTAGTTTGCCACTGCAAAAAAGTGTCATGACTTTCCAACCTATTTGCAACTGCTGGACGAGGTATCCCTACTTCTCTCTGGTTCCCTGTCACACAGAGTATCGTTTTCTCATCTTTGACTTTCAGTTTATTAATCCTCTTTCAGGTTCAGTATATTTCCTATCAAGAGCATCTCGATGGGTCCTGCCCCCTAATCTACTCTGCCTGTGTTTCTTTTTGTTAGTGTATCAAGGCTATCTATATTAGAGATTATAGCCCACTTTCTCTGCCTCATCTCTGCTATTCTATCTTGCTGCTATTATCTGTCCACTCTTCTTCATTCTACTGTCTGCCCCATTCATTGAGGCCTCTCTGCCACAGTTGCTGGAATCCTGGTATTTTTCTCTCTCTCTTTTTCTAGAATGTCATTATTTTTTGTAGGGTTGGATTACTGGACATGAACTCCCACAGTTCCTCCTTGTCTTGGAAACATCTTGTTTCTCCATTAATTTTGAGAGAGAGTTTTTCAGGGTACATCAATCTGGGTTGGAGGTTATTTTCTTTCAGGGCTTGGACTACTTCCCCTCAGGCTCTTCTTGATTTGGTAGTCTGTGTTGAGAAGTCTATCATTACTTTGATGAATTTTCCTTTATAGGTGATCTGCTTTTCTTCTCTGACCACTTTTAATATTCTGTTCTTGTGGTAAATTTCTGGGATCTTGATTATTATATGTCTGGGTGTAGATCTGTTTTGGTTGTAGTTGGTTGGAGTTCTGTATGCTTCATTTATCTGGATATCATTTCTTTTTCCTATGCTTGGGAAGTTTTCCTTAATTATTTCTGTGAATAGCCTTTGTAATTCATTTGTGATTACTCCT